TGGGGCAGTGTGTGTTGAAGTTAGAAGACAACTTTGGGAGTCAGTTCTCTTCTCTCACTATGTGGATCCTGGGGATCGAACTTAGTACCTCAGGCTTGATGGCAGGGGCCTTCACCTGTTGAACCATCTTGCTGGCCCCCCTCAGAAAATGTAAAGCTAGAGACTTTTCTCTTTTTTTTTTTTGATGGCCAGGAAAATATCCATTTATTTATTTATTTATTTATTTATTTATTTATTTATTTATTTATTTATTTATTTATTTATTTTTGGTTTTTCGAGACAGGGTTTCTCTGTGTAGCTTTGCGCCTTTCCTGGAACTCACTTGGTAGTCCAGGCTGGCCTCGAACTCACAGAGATCCGCCTGGCTCTGCCTCCCGAGTGCTGGGATTAAAGGCGTGCGCCACCACCGCCCGGCCCATTTATTTATTTTTATTTTTTAATTATCCATTACAATTTAAATGAGTTACATAAACATAATACCTCCAACAAGAGTAGAAATACATATACAGTATAACAAAATTAAGTTTAAACTTGTATCAATAAACTAAAATCCATAACAATGTAAAACATTTCTAAGCAAGTTGTTACTCTTTAAAAGTAGTTTCATTAATCTACCTTTTCATCCTATCATATCTAAACTATCCCCCTTTCTTCTTTAGAAAGAGATTGCATTTATAATCAACCTGTTTTAAATAAAAATATTGGTTTTTCTCTGTCCCACACCAGAGGGCTCTTTTGATATGGGACACAAGAATCTTTTAACCTTTTATTTTAGGAATGTGCTTGGGTTTAGAAAAGGAGTGAACCAATTCCATCTCCAAAGCCAGCTTGGTATATTTGGGAATTCGGGCGTAGCTTCTCTTACTACTTCCTGCTGGAGGGAGGGCGCTGTATCTTACGGGGACACAAAGAAAATATTAGGCTTATGGGGTAGTCCGTGAAGCTGTATTAATCTGAGCCAGTTGCCTTGAAACCATTTTGGATGTTGAATCATCTGGGCCATGGTGTCATCGGCTAGAGACTTTTCTATAAGGGAATTGGGAGACAAAGAATGAAGACATCGCCATTTTCTTCTCCTGCCATTTATTTTCTTTTCCTGTTTATTCAACAAGTTTTGCTTAGGTACCCCCATGTATCAAGTTTTGTTTAGGTACCCCCATGTATCAAGTTTTGTTTAGGGGCTGACTGGAAGATCAAAGGTGGTCAAAGAACAGATCCTCTCTCAAGGATGTGGGAAGAGAAAGGTCGGTATGGGGGCTTTGAGGAGAGTTAAAGGTGCAGGGGTAGATGTTTGTATAGGAACTGGGGACACAAGGAAGGAGTGGGTGACTGTCACTACAGTCTTTTTCCTTGGGGTTCAGTTTCTCCACTGCTTTTGCTACTTAAGCATTAGAGTCCCTTGAATACCAGTTTTCTCATGTCTAAATAAGTCTACTTACAGCTTTCATGAGTATCAATGTTTTAAATGTCCGAAAGGAAATTTGCAGACCGTAGGGGATGCTGCTGAGGCTGTGGATGGTGATGAAGATGGGTCGTGGAATAATGATGCTCTTGCCCTCTTTCCAGGCATGCCCATGATGAATCACTGTGATCACTGATTTTACCAGGTGACATTCAAGGGACCATTGTCATGCACACTGAGCCACAGTAAGATAATCTGGGGGTTGCAGGCATTTCCAGGAAAGATCCATAAGCAAGAGGAAATTTCTTTTTCTACATGGGTAATAAATCTTCTGCCTATTGACTTTTAAAAGCGTAGAGCAAAATGTCTTTTTTGTCTGTTTAATACCAAGCACCACCTTAACATTTGTTTTGCTGCACAGTTTACTGAGGACTTCCACAGTCATAAATCATCAATGCCTCATCAGAACCCTTTCACTTGGCAGAATAGATTTAATTTTGACCCTCACTCACAGCCATGGAAAATATAAGCTGGAGAAGTTAAATAATTTGCCCAAGATATATAGCTAGCAAGGACAGAACGAAAGCCTGAATTCTGGTCTTTTCTTTTCTCATTTTTGAAATCATCATTTCCTCATGGTAAGTATCTGTAACGGACAGAGCTCCTCTTTGATGACTAGAAAAGGCTTCAAACTGTTTTTTGAATGTTAAAAAAATCATCCCTATTTTGACATATCTCGGATGTCTGAAATGCCCTAGTCTCAAGCGCAGTCACAATAAATCAAGCAAACAAATAACCCATCCCCATTGTGCTGTGGATTATTTCCCCATGAGGCAGATGTTTACTTTTTATAAATGAAAGCTCATTGTTGTCAGGAACATTTAAGAGGCTTAACCTGTCTCCTCTGGCATATGGCGCTGGCTTTTCATGATAAAAGTCATTGTGTGCCGTGGTAGACTAAATTGCAAGGCTGGTTCTGAAACTTCATCAGTTAATGCTTGTGAACAACACTGTTTTCCTATGCAGAGGCTCGTCTGGGCCTCTTCCACTGAGAAAGGGGAGCAGGGGAGGCTGTTTCCTTTGGTAGAAAATACTCATATTTTAATGGTATGATGTCATGAATTATTAAAGTAGCTCAACTTTAAAGCTCAGCTGAAAGAACACAAAGTGAAGAATGACCTTGAGACTCTTGAAAAATGGGAATGTTGACTGCGTGCCTGCAGACTCCAAGATGGATTTCTACTTTAGTTTATATTTATGCAACTGTGAAACTCAGTCCCTTGTTCCCAAAGAAATCCTTTGTGCAGCCGTGTGGAGAAAGTTATTACATTTTAGTGCAGAAGAGCTGTAAAGTTTCTTTCCTCGGGTCTCATGAAAGCTAGAGTGTGCTGGCGAACTTTGTGCTGGGGGAATGACCCTGAGGAATGAGATGTAGAGTCCCTCAGAAGACAAAAGGAAACAGGCAGGCATTGTTCTTTTTTAAAAAAGAATGTACCATTAGGTTCTTAGAAAGGATTTGTGTGTAACCCAGTGTCGCTTCCCCTATAGTGTTCACTTCCTTCTGATTCAAGGTGAATAGAGGGAAATAAACCCAGAAGCATGAAGATCTGCCAGCCGCTCTGTTGCCTGAGCACATGACAATGCCTGTAGCAATCCCACCATAACGAGTGCAGGTGCCCAGGGAGGCTGCCAGAGTGCTTATGATGCGGCAGGGAATACTTCAAAGATTTGAGTTAGGCTCCAGGCTCATTCTCTGGCCAATAGTTTGCTGGGAGAAAAATCACAGAAACTACAAGTGGAATGAAGTGTCCTTGATACTTCCAAAGTGAGACAATGCTGTGTCTAAACCTACAAAGAGGTATGGCTCATCGCTTCTTATGTTCTTTGTAACATGATTGAGTTGAGTTTGTGTAGACTTTGGGATGGCACTCGGTGGTAGATTGCTTTTCTCAGCATTGCAAGGCTTTGGGTTTGATCTCCAGTATAATAATAATAATAATAATAATAATAATAATAATAATAATAATAGTAATAATAATGATAAACTCATAGGAAGGAAAAGAGTATGAGTGGGGGAGATGGAAGAACCAGGATTTATAAGTCTATTAAATGCTAGTGCTGTCTCAAAAACAATGCCTAAGGATAAGCTATAACCCTATTTTAGAGAAGGCAAAGTTCAGTCTGTAAAATTTTTTATATCATACAGTAAATAGCAGAGCAGAACTTAATGTGAGCTTAATTTGACACCAGAGATTCCTATGAATTCACCATTATTTTTGTTTGCTTGTTTATGATTTTTTGAGACAGGATCATCCTATGTAGCCCAGGCTGGCACCAAACTTGGATTCTTCCATCTCCACTTCCCAAGTGCTGGGATCATAGGTGCATGCCACCATGCTCAGCTGACTTCACCAATTTTACTCTTTGGCTCTGAATGATGGTTTGCTGGACTTTTTATTTTCTCGTTTGTTTGAATTCTTTGGTCCTTACATGTAGGATGTCTTCTTCTTGTCCTTGCAGACACACTCTCCATCCTTCTCTATTCTCTGTGCCCTGGCAGATGACAGGCTCCTACTTCATAGGGGCCCCTGTCCTGTGGTTTATAGTTGGGTTGGGTCAATGAGAGACACAAACAAGGCTTTGGTGATAAGCAGATGGTTGGAAATGAGTTACGTATCAGTTTGACCTCGTTTCTCCTCTGCTGATTTTGTTATTGAGACTGGGTTATCCTGTAGCCCAGGCTGACCCATTTCTGACCTTCCAGCCCTTGCTCCTACCCCTTGCTTCTTCAGGCTTAGGTAGGTCTCTGTTGTTGCTAGCCCATAAGAACTACATTATTCCGTAACACTGACACCCACCTTTGTGGAGCAGGCCTACTGTAAGCCAGCCGGATTACCCAAGTTGATTATGCCATTTGTTACTTTTTGAGACCATAACAGATAGAAGTATATGCCACTTGAGTGATGACATAATGTCTGAGTTTTGCACTCATCCATGACTATTTTTACTGTGAAAAATCATGATTTTTATGTCTTGTTTGCCTCTTAAGTATTTCCTCTTTATAACTTCCACCTGGGCTATTTTTTCACTGTTCACTTCCTTTTGTCGTACTACATGACCTCCAGATTTTCTTTACTCCTCCACCTCAATTTGAGGCTGATGGACCAGAGGAAGCCCATTTCTATCACTGTTTTAAGACTGAGTTTCTGTGGTCTCTGGGCAGGAGTTGGTCTGTATTAGCATTTCTTTGCAAAATCGTCTTTGGAATTGTCTTGAGAAAACAATGCACATTTTTAGACCTTCCAGGGGGAAAAGAAATCATTATTTCTCCAAAAAAAGAAGCGAGATAATGAAAATATGTTCAGTAAATAACATTTAGGATAATAGAGGATTCTAAAATAGGCAGAAGATTTAAATTCAAGGTCAGTTTCTTCTTTTGTTGGATTGCAGCAAGAATTTAATGGTAATAAAATCTTTTTCCTGTATAATACATTTTATATTAAAACTCGGGGCATTTAAATGAGGGATTTTATGTCTGCACGGTCTTATTGAGCATGAAGGATTAAAAAAAAATGCCTTTTCTTTTCTTAATACCTTTTTTTTTTGAGGGTTGAAAAGCCACTCCATGCCTCCTGGGCCCACAGAAGTGAAGATTGACAGGTTGGAGGTAAGTGAGAAACACCCACAAAATGCCTTCCCTACACCGTTTAACCTTGGACCCTGTTACTCTGGGCATTTCTGTCTCCTGAAGAGACACTAAATCTTTGCTGGTGGTGTGACAGCTTTATGAGGTAGACTCATGTCTATTTTCCGAGGAGTATGGGAGCATTTTAATGTGTTTTCCCTTCTCCTACTGGCAACTTAGGTATAGCCTGTGTCTGTCAGTGGGGTAAGGCTGGTGGTCCAGCAGTATCTGGTTGCAATGTTCAATAACACAGATGAGCAGTCTTATGGTTCCAGGGAGAAAAAGTAGTGGTGTTTTCTTATAGATTGTATTAAAATATTGGCTTGAAGGCATATTAGCTGATTCTTGCTGGGATATTTGGTGTGTGTGAGTGTAGTGTGTATGTGAGTACACGTATGTATGTATGTGTGTGCATATGTGTGCACATGTATGTGGCAGCCAGTCAGATTCTCTCGCTAAACCCAATATTCACTGGGTTGATTGGCTGGCCAGCCAGCTCTGGAGATCCGTTTGTCTCCACACTCCCAGCACTGGGGTTACCCGGCCTTTTAATGTGAGTGGTGGGGATCCTAACTCAGGTTCTCATGCTTAAGTAGCAGGTACTTTACTGTTTGAACCATTTTCTTAGGCCCCGTTCTTTAATATTGAGGCGTCTATGATCTGCTCCCTATGCTAAGATATCAAGATAAACTATTAAGACCTGGGTAAGTGTGCTGTGAAAGTCTGCTAGACTCGTTTTAAGGCTGTTTTTCACTTTGGGTACATTGGTCGTGAGCTGCAAAGGTTCAAGGGTAGGTTACTGTCAGGTGTACCAGGTAGGAAAAACTCAGCCACACAGCAACTACATTATTTTTTCTTGGTCATTGGTGATTTTTGTGGATTAAACTATTGAATTTAGACTATTCATTATCTAAATGAATTTAATCTAGAAGAAGGCAGAACAGTAGGCTTACAGCTTAGGAGTGTTTAAAATATGCATCCACAGAGGAAATTCTCTGCCTATGGAAGTGGATTATTGTTGGTGGAGATTTGACCTGTAGCAATGTGCCTTGCAATCTATAAATAGCTGCTCTTTGCGTTGGAATACATTACCTGAAGAAGGCAGGCCCCACGCTTTACATTTTAGATTGCAGAACTGCATTTCTTATTGGGTGGTTAATAACACCCTTTAAAATCTAAACATCCCTAGTATATTAACCCGACCTGACTGTTCTTGGCCACAACTTTATGTTTTAAAAATAGCCCTGAAGCAGGCACATTGGAGACAAAATTTATTTAAGCAACTGTTTTTTTTTCCCTGCAACCTCATGAAGACCTGAATCCTTCTTTCTGTGTTTCTTTGTGCCCATGGCAGCACACAGTATGGATACCACTGTAGGAAGGGTAAGGGGTATGGATGTAGGGGAGTTGATGGTACACTCTTCTGAGCCCTGAGCCAAAGTTTTCTTCGGTTTTGTTTCCTAACAGGCTCAACCATTTCTGGAGGTTTCAGCAGCTTTGCTTTGATTTTTATTTTTGATAATGTCAGCTAGGTGTTTACCCACGGCTTCTGGAAATTAGACAGAAGGGGTTTCCAGGGAAAGGTGGGCAAACACTGCTCATTTATTTAGTGCCGAAGGCCCTGGCAGGCAAAAAAAGGCCACTGGTCATCCGTTTGCTCTTGTGTATGCCTTTGGACTTTGGGAAAAGCCGTGACAAAGAAGAGACAAAAGACATGAGAGAAGAGATTGAAGGCAGGAAACAAAGCTTGCTAATGTTGGGAGATGGTCGCTTTACATCTATTTTTTTTACATAGGACCCAATGAATGCTATGTCCTTCTTGGGCAGATGTGGGACACACAAACACCTGCACAAACACCCATCCCTAAGGAAAAAGGGGGTGTCCCAGCAAGAGCCAGTGCACTTTAGAATTCTGGGTTTGTTTTTTGGGTTCTGAATTAATTAGATACCATGTTGAATTCCAAATGTGATAATTAGGCAAATTAATGCTGCAGTGAAGTTATTAATGAGGCAAAATATGCTAATATGCTTTTGATAAAGAGCTCTTCTTCTGCCTTACCAAGAAATTGGCAAACATCTTTTATTTGAGGCCAGACAGCTCATCTCAAGTGATTTACTAAAAAGCTTCTCGGCCGTATGTTGTGAACAAATGTTGTAAATAGGGGTTAATGTCTAAATTTTTGATGTGGATAAGCCTCATTTCTATGTAGCAAGCCCTGAATGCTCTTTGCCTGGTGTCCAAGCAGCAGCAGTGCCCAGAAAGGCCGAGACCTTTTCTGGGTCCCTTAACGCTGGCATGAAGGTGGCAAATTCTTTTGCTCACTGGGTTCATTCCTGCTGACAACGCCACCCATCAACACTCAGCACAAGGTGAATGGTGGCTGCCACCCCTCCCCCAAACGTGCTCCTTTCTCTTCAGCAGACTTGGTGTCTCCTTCGGTTTTCAGATGTTCAAAAGTCCTTAGCCCAGAATCATTAGGGAACCCATTTAGTGGTTTGAAAGTGACATGGCAGAATTTTTCTTTCCGATCTGAAGTCTACTCTGGAGATCACATTGTGCATGAAGAACTCTCCTGGGACCAAACTCAGACACCTCCTACCAGAGAGAGTTGGTTATTAAAAACAAGATGAAGGGAAGTATGAAAAGCACCTTTCCCACATGCACATGGTTATTTTAATTCTTTTAATCGCATGCCCTGTGAGGGTATGGTCTGCAGAATTTCCATTCACTTGAATGTGACATTTGCGGGCAGGTTTTACCATGCTTCCCTCATCCTCCAGGATGAGTTTGACTTTTGTAAGGCTGGAGAGAGAAGTCCCTGACACTGTTTGAGTATTGTCACCCTTGGTTTGTCCTTGGCTGGTGCGCTTCTGGGTTGTGCCTGATAGCAGGAAAGAGGCTATTTATTAAGTGTAACACAGTACATGGAAAATGATCATCCAAAGAAGACCTTACAAGAGGTGGTAGCAAATAAGGAGTTGACTTTCTCCTCAGACACAGTAGGTGGTTTGCAGCTGAAACGTATCTCAGGTGTGTACTTTCTATGTTTCCATGGCATTATCTTAATAGTCTCTGTGGCACACAAGGACTGCAGCACTACAGGTCTTGACATCTGTGTTTGAAGCAGGAAGAGGAAAAGGACTGGGGGGTGGGTATAATTCAGTGGGTAGGATGCTTACCTCAGATGCACAAAGTCCCCAGCACAACACAAACTGGGCATGGTGAGATATAACTACTCAGTGTCATAGTTTTTATCAGCTTGATTCAAGCCTAGACATACCAGGAAGAAAGACTCTCAGTTGAGGAGGAACCTTCATCAGATTGGCCTGTGGGCATGTCTGTGAGGCTTTTTCTTGATCTCTGATTGATGGGGTGGGGGAGCCCACTGTGGGTTGTACATCCCTAAGTGGGCAGGCCTGGGATGTTTGAGAAAGGTGGCTAACTGTGAGCCTAGGGGTGAGCTAGATAGGAACCCATTTGCAGTGTTCCTCTACAGTCTCTGTTTCAGTTTCTGCCTACAGGTTCCTGCCTTGACTTTCCATGATGATGGACTGTAACCTGTATGTCAAATAAACCATTTCCTCTGCCACCTAATTTTTGGTTGTAGTGTTTAATCACAGCACCAGAATGCAAAAAAGACACCCAAAACTTGCCAGGTGGAAGCAGGATTAGAAGTTCAAGTTCATTCTCAGCTACGTAGTGAATTTGAGGCCAGCCTAGGATATATAAGACCCTGCTTTTAAAAAGAAGAAAACAAGCAGGGATTAGGAGAGGACTGGCTTTTTCTGAATACTTTGCTAGAGTCTCTATCTAATAATTTCCATTTATATTTTATTTATTGGTCAGAATTGTGTCCTATAGCAACTTCTAGCCGAAAGGTAGATAAATGGAGATAGACTGGCTAGCCAATAGCTTTTTCAGTCTTTCTATGGGGGCTTGGACTATGTGGTTGTATTTTTAACTGGCTATCACTCCACAGTGCATCTCAAAACCTGGATGACTGGACATGAGATGGGCGTTGAAGTAAAACCCCTACATTCCTCAGTGTAGATGGCAGGCAGTGTGAATAAACCTAGTGACTATGGGCTGAGCTGTAGGACTCAGTGTATGACTTTCACCTCTGACCCTTGGTTTCTCCTAATTGTGACTTGGAGAGCTTTCCTGGGGTTATTCTAGGAAACCATTAGGATCGCAAATACAAAGTGTCTAGCATATCCAACTTGTTAATAGGTGACAGTCGCTAAGGTGGTAAACAGAATTCAGATCATGTTCACAAAGAATTAATGTGCAATAGGAAAACGTTTACACACATTTCCCTGTACCTTTAATTCATGGACTTCTGGTAGGCACAGGTGCCCTTCTGTTAGATGGATTGACAGTGGCGGCGGGGGGTGGGGGGGACGACATATGTTTGAACCAGCGAAGTCTGTGAGCAGAAGGTGGAGACATTGGGGAATGGGGAAAGGGGCCACACAGGGATGAGTGGGCTAAGGAGAGATGTTCATGGGCCTTTGGCATGAAGCTGTGCACAAGGTGTGTAAACCCATCCTCTGACTCACTTGGAAAGCCTTCTGGGAAAATGTCTGATAGATGCACTGGAGTGAGAGGGCCTTTTGGTGACTATGAAGTTGCAATTGTGTTGACTGGAGGTGGTGTGAAGTTACAGCTGGCACACAGTTTCCAGAATAGTCATTTCACACAAGCCTCAGCACCCTGTAAACTAGATTTAAAGGTGGCACTAACCCAGCCACACAAAATACACATGGAGAATAGTCGTGAGTTTAGCAGGAGGCTGTCAATGCCTGCTGTGGGGGAAGGTCTCTTCCATCCCTCTTGTGAGGTGTCCAAAGGGAGGTAGGCGTGGAAAACTTTTTCCTTATTAGTCCCTGGCTCCTCTGTGGTGAAGTCATAATGACATGCATATGATTCTAGCATTGAAGATAAAATAACTTATTTTTAATTTTTTTGAACAACATAGTTCTAAACAAAAGCCAATTACTATATTTGGTGCTAAATTGGGGAATAGAAGCCAGCAATCTGTTTCAAAGTTGGAGGAAAATCTGGCTGCTTTGAATTTATTAAGCGATGGCACAGTACTGTATTTTTATGAGCAAATTAAGATATTTTCAGGGTCAATTGTGAATATACTTGGTTTTCACGTCATGAGCCCAATATTAGAACTTAACCCTTGAGTAAAATCTGAGTTTACTGGGTATTAGTAAGTGATGCACATGTTCGTATGTGGCTGGCATGAATCAGAGACCACAAACCTGGGTCTTAAGGCAAGATGATGCCTATCCCTCCCATTGCTTCAGGATTTCTTATCTGAATCCACTGTACCAGGACGCAGGGACTTTGCTGGACCAATCTACAATTTTCTTTCTTGGCTGGTGGATGAGGATCCTGTCACAGCTGTGGGCTGACATCTATCTACACATCTGCTAATGTCCTCCTTCCTTGCTGTGACCACTTGTCCGAGCAGCAGTTCCTGGCTGCTTTCCTGCTCTGGCTCTCTGTTCTTTGCCTGGCACATGCCAAGGAATGTTATTCTCTGGTTCCTCCAGGGACACAGGAAACCCACAAAGCTTCCCATGGTCTTCTGTCTTCACACCTCATGTAGTGTGCCTTCTCTGCGGCTCCTGTCCCTGGCCCCCATGGGAACTGGGTCACTGCATTTTGGCCATTCCTCAACACAAAGTGGGCTCCTGCTGCTTTCTTGGGTACCTGGTATGATTTGGGCATGGCAGGGATAAGAACCCTCCTCCCTAAAGGTCTAGAAGCTTCTAAATCTCAGATTTCTCCTATGGCATCCTTTACCCAGGTGGGATACCTTTATTTGCCTCCCAGGAACAGGAGACATTCTCTGACTGATCACATTATATTCAAATCTTTTGTGTATGCTCCAAGTCCTAGGCTTTTGGAACTCAAAACCTCTTTCTTAAAACCATTTCCTTTTTCTTCCATGCCAGGCCTTCCCCGAGGAAATGAAACCAGAATTCTTATTTGGCAGCATGGCAGGAAGTGTGGCAATTACTGGACACACTGGTGAACATCAGGAAATGCTTCAAGAGACTACCGTGACTGACACTACTCAGCACAAAGAATGACCCATACTATGCCCAAGTCCCTGAGGGTCCCTGGTTCTTTCCTGCATGGCACTGCCACCAGCTTTGTGTTCCCAGGAAAGTGAGTACAACCTGGCTGTAAGAGAAGCCGGGGCAGGCATGGTACCGCCTGACAGTAAGAGGTGGGGTCTTCTTCCTTACAAAGTGGTAGAAACCTTCTCTCCCAAAGGCTCACAGCATCCCCATGTCTAAGTACCTCTAGGCAGCAAATCACACTATTTATTGCCTGATAAAGGTCTTTTCATGTTTTCAGAAACACAAGCACTAAAACGTTTGGTATTGTAGGAAGAAGTCATGCAGGTGATAACATTAGAAAACAAATAATCCTAGCTGTGAGAAATACCATTTTCCCTTGTATTACTTTTCTGTTGCTGTAAGAAAATACCCGAGGCTGGGTACTTTGTAAAATGTAGAGAAAGACCCTGTCTCGAAAAAAACCAAAAAAAAAAAAAAAAAAATGTAGAGAAAGAAAAGAGGTTTGTTTAGCTTACAGTTCTGGTAGTTAAATATTCAAGATCAGATGAGCTTATTGGATTGGTCTATGGTGAGTACCTAACACTGCCAAGAAGTAAGGGAAACAGAACCACTGTGGTGTGCAGAAGAAATCACTTGGAGAGATGGGAAGCCAGAAGAGTGTGCAGGGCCCATCTTGTTATGTTATTGATCATTTCTTGAGGAAAATAACCATCTAAGGACAATGCTTGGAATGACTTACCTACTTACATGACCCACCATTTATTTTTCCCTATCTTTCTTTCTTTCTTTCTTTCTTTCTTTCTTTCTTTCTTTCTTTCTTTCTTTCTTTCTTTCTTTCTCTCTCTCTCTCTCTCTCTCTCTCTCTCTCTCTCTCTCTCTCTCTCTTTCTTTCTTCCTCCCTCCCTCCTTCCCTCCCTCCCTCCACCTCTCTCTCTCCCCCCCTCTCTCTCTCTTAACATTTTATTGATTATTTGTGGATTTCTCATTGTACATCCCAATTCCATTCATCTCCCCATCCCTTCGTATCCACCCTCTGCCCTTGTAACCTCCCCCCACAAAATAAAATACAATTTAAAAGAAAGAAAAAAAACTAAAAAAAACCCCAAACCAGAACAAACAAACAAACAAAAAGAAAAAAATCTCAGTGTGGAAGCTATAGTGTGGTCCAGTGAATCACACAGTATACCTTTTAATCCATATATCTTTACTTGTAGGTATCCATTGCAATGAGTCATTGGCCTTCTAAAAGTCACTGGCTTCTGCTACCCTATACTGGGCCCTCACTGGGGCTCTTCTTGGATATCCTGTTGTTGTCCTGTGTCATGGGGATCCTGTAGCTTTGGGTCTGCGAGTCTAGCCCCTTCATATGCTCCAGCAGTTCATAGATGAGGTGAATGTTGAGATGGGCTAACTCATAGCCCTGGTTCTGGGCCTGGGACCCACCATTTCTTAATATTGCCATTCTTGGGGCTAAGCTTCTCAGTTTCTTGAGGGGATACACTCGAGCCATATCCAAACCACCACACCCTGCAAAGCCCACTGAACTCCCCAGAAGACCTTTAGAACTAAAAGATGATAGGAATGTGTCATGGAGAGACATATTCTATAAATTTGGACTTTAGATGAATTTCTAAATGGTCTTATTAAATAAAGAACATGGAGCCAGATATAGGGGTGAAAACCTGAGAGATCAGGGAAATAGGGAAAGCCACAGCTAACCTTACCTCACCAACTCTGTAGCTTCCCAATGCAAGCGACTTCCTGTCTACCCATGCACATACACCTTGCTGTTCGACCATCTGATTTGCTCTCTCTGTCCAGCTACATCACTTCCTCTTCCTGCCCAGCTCTGTCACTTCCTGTCTGTTTGTACATACCTCCAGACCTCCATGGTTGACTAGTGTTGGAATTTAAGGCATGTGCCACCACTCCTGGCTCTGTTCCCAGTGTGGCCTTGAACTCACATAGATCCAGACAGACCCCTGCCTCCCAAGTGATAGGATTAAAGGCATGTGCTAACATTGCATGACTTTTGTGTTTACTTATAATGGCTGGCTTTTTCCTCTGATCTCCAGGCAAACTCTGTTTATTAGAGCACAAATAAAATATCACCACATTGGATGACCCAAGATAGCATATTTCAGAACTGTAGTTTAGAGCAAACAATGAGAAAATGTGGTAACCACGGAGTCCCTTATATTTTTTGTGACAAAGAAAAAAAAAAACCAAAGCTTTAGGAACTTTAAATTTTTTTCCCATTGGAACTTCTGGTTTTATATTATAGAAAACATAAAAGCATAAAGCTTACTGTTTTATCTAAGTGTTATTAACTATATTCATAATATATACAACACTCACTATCTCTCTCCAGAACCTTGACATTATCCCATATTAAAAAGTTACCCATTAAGCAATGACGACCCATTCTTTCCACTCTTGGTTCCTGGTCTGATAGCCTCTGCCATAATTTCTGCCTCTGTGAGCTTGACTTCTCCAGGTACTGCATGTAAGTGGAATCATGCAATGTATGTGACCTTTGCTTTCGGTTTACTTTACTTAGCACATCGTTTTCAACACGCATTCATGGTTTTGTGCGTATCTGAATTTCCTTTCTTCTGTCCCATGTTTTTAAAGGAAGAGTATCTTCCATTGCATGCATGTGTTGTATTTCATTTGTCCATTCATCTGTTGATGGACATTTGGTTTGTTATGTTTTGTTTGTTTATAATGTTGCTAAGAATGTTTATGTCAAATGTCTGTCCATATCCCTACTTTCAATTCTTAAAGTTGTTTACACCAAAGTAGGACTGTGGAACCCCATGGCATTGTGGGTCTAAGTTTTTGAGGAGTCACCATCTGGTTTTGTACAGTGTTATTGCCACTTTGCTGTTCTACTGGAATTTCAGGGTTTTTTTTTTCCCATCCTCACCAATACTTGCCACTTTCTGTACGATAAAAATGTGTGTGGAATAGCATCTCATCGTGGTATTGCTTTGCCTTTCCCTGAGGACAAGTGGTGCTAAATAACTCTACAACAATCGTTCTCAGCCTGTGGCTCTCAATCCTTTGGGATTGAACGAGTCACCTAAGACCATCAGAAAACACAGATATTTACATTACGATTCGTAAAAGTAGCAAAATTACAGTTAGGAAGTAGCAACAAAAGTAATTTTATGGCTGGAGGTCACCACAACATGAAGAACTGTATTAAAGGGTCATAGCATTAGGAAGGTTGAGAACTCCAGCTCTACAAGCTTATTTGGAATTGGCTGTTCAAGCTCTTTGTCCATTTGAAAGTTGTTTTATACTTGCTGTTATTTGAAAGCCTCAGGCGTTTTTAGGTTCAGCTCACTCTGTTGCCCTTAATGTAATGTCACTCTACAGGATGTACTTGTCAGGAGGAGGAGGGCGAAGAGGGCAAGAGGACTCAGGCGGACAGAACACTGAGGTCCTTGCCACACAGGATCATGTCCAGTGTCCCCAGCATAGGAAGCTCGGCCTTGTGGTTCTGTCTGGTGTGCTTTTCCATCAATCAGGACACTCATCTGTCTGTCATTCCACAACTGTCCAAGGAACTTTCCCTCTTCCAAGCCTTTGCTGACTTTCCCTCTTCTGAGCTGCCTCCACCCCCAGGTATTCTTAGGATACATCATTTGTTCACCCATTCATTCATTCACTCATGAAATGTCCTAGTACACATACTATCACCAGGTACAAAGTATTGTGCCAGGTTCTGGGGAAATGTCGGTGAGTAAAGCAGTTTCTGCTTCCAACGAATTCCCCGATTACTGGAGGAAACGGCAAGTTATCTGGCAATTACCATTCATTGTGAGTAAGTGTTCAAGTGGAAGTAAAAGGAGCAAGGGAGATCATCTTCCCGAGCTGAGAGCCGGTGTTAGAAGTATTTATGGGCTCTTGTGAACAACCTCATCTTCTGCCCATTAAATGTAAGCTTGTGTTTCATTATTTTTATTTTTATTTTCATTTTTATGTTTCTTAACCAAAACCATTTACACTCAGTCTTTGGCATCTGTAAAGCATAGCCTCTCCTCGTGAAGAGCAGGCTTCTAGCACTGAGGTGTTTCCCTGCACACTGATATATTTGTGTATCATTTGAAAGTCGAAATTTGGGCTGGGTACATTCAAGTGGAGATTGGGGCGGGGGACATCTGGAAGCTTGCTGGACTAACCCCTCCCTGACTGGACTTACAGAAAATCCACCACCCTTGGGTAAAAACACGCAGTTTTCATTACAGTACCGTTCACAGTGTGTAGCCCAGAGCAGGGGCTCCTGGTAGTATTGGACTCTGTGAACCATTGTGGGAGGTGTTGTTTCGTTTACCAACAAGACAGAAGGAGTAGAGCAGTAGTAGAGGCGACCCACCATGTTGAGTCTGGTCCAGAAGAAACACATGGTAAGGCCTTTGTTTCTCTTGAGAAATGGCTTGTTTGCTTGTCTGGACTTTGGCAGAGGAAGGTACATGGATCCTCCTGAAAAAGTCGAGGGGGAGCTAATGTAAAAGCAGGAAGTGTATGTGTTGTGCATGTGTGTGTGGGAGGGCATCACAGAGAGGCCAGATCAATTGTTATACAGAGGCTTCATACTTGAATGCAGGCTTTAACTAGGTAGCAGGGAAGGGACACTTTGGGGATTACTGTGAAGGAAGAATCAACTGATATGGATTTTGAGGGGTAAGAAATGGGAAAAAATAAAAAGGACTTAAGATATTGGTTTTAGGATTAAAAGAGGGGATTTAATTTGGAAGATAAAGGATTTACTGTTAGAATAGTGACAATTAAGAACTGAATGCATGCAATTGGAATTGCAGCCTTCAGGTGGCCCTCAAATGTCCCAGGGTGGGGGAAGCTGTGTTTCATTGGAATCTTCTGCTTTGTCAGGACAGGAGGCACATTGCAGAAGCGGTGTGTAACTGATTTATATAGAGAAAAAAGCTCTCCTTTTAGCTAAAACTTGTTATTTAAAGGATTATTTATTCTCTGCTTTGGAATAGTTCCTTCCCAGGCTCTGACAGAGCTCTGCTGCCCAGCTGACATCGGTTCCAGCAGGCAGGATGAGAGACTCAACATCAGACTGCAGGAGGCCAGCAGCGCATCGAGCAGATGATAAATCATCCCAAATGCATATTGAGCAGGGATCACTGATATTTCTAAAACACAAACAAAACCGCTCTTAAGTCTGTCCTTCCCGTTACCTGCGCTAACCCTGGGCCAGGCATGGGTGTAGTGGCATTTGGGGGCTCTCAAGCTGCATGTGTATTTATAGATGGCCGGGCAGAGCAGTACGGAAACACACCGACGTCCTGGGAAAGGCACAGTTTTCACGGATGCTCAGTCCCTTGGGTGCTGCCCCGCAGGGAAGTCAACTCAGTTTTGTGGGTTGAGGGTGGAAGCACAGTCCTCACCAGTGTGCCTTGCTTTAGCATATGGTTTTCAGCACTGTTTTCTACCCTTCCCCGCTGCTTAGGGTTGTTCCAGATCCATTATTCAAGCAAAAGCCACTTGGCTGTGCCCTAGTGGGAGAATGGCTAGGAAAATCATGGATCTGCCTTTTAATGGCTGTGAGATTTTGGGCCAAGGACTAAAATCTCTGCTTTGGTTTCTTCTGTGTGAAGGGGGAGGAAATAATGTGCCCCTTTAGAGAATGATTGGGAAGAACAAGTGGGGTGAGTGTGCCTGAGTGTGCTGCCCTCGAGGGTTGGCACATAGGAGGTGGCTTCAAGAGAGATCTGTAACATTTCCTAACGGCAATGACAGCATGGACGGCACAATGCCACGTGGTCACGTGGGCAAAACGTAAAAATCTGCGAGCTGTCCCGTCACAGAAGTGGGCTCCAAAAGGCCTGCTCATGCACCAGGGTTGGATTCTGATCCTACCGCCAGGGGGCCCCTTAAGCAGATCATGCTACACAACTGTCTGGCTATGCGAGAGCTTTGTCCAGTCCCATGCAGGCCCCACAGCTCTTGATCTAAATTTCATGAGTTCCCACTAGTTTGGTTTGGTTGTCTCTGTAGGTTTCCCCATCCTGATCTTGATGCCCCTTGCTTGTAGGATCCCTCTTCTCTCTCTTCAGCTGAGGCAGGGGAAGGGGCTTGGACCTGTCTCTACTAAATGTATCTCCCCATGGGAGGCCTTACCTTCTTGTAGGAGGGAAGGGGGTGGTTTGGGAGGGGGAGGCTGGGGGGGGGACAGGAGGAATGAAGAGGGGGATCTTTGGTATGTAAAATGAATAATTTTTTTCTTAAATAAAATGTAAAAATGTCTTTTTTTTGGTAGTTCTTGGTATCTGAGTTATTCCTCCTCCTCCTCCACCTCCTCTTCTTTCTCTTCTTCTAGACTCCCTTCTGCCAAGTAGTGGACGTGTAATCTCACTCGGCAAAATCATACAAAACCAAAACCAGCAGGGGCAACAACTTGCCCCTCTGAGAGATGGGGCGGAAGGCACCAGAGATGAAAACTTACACCTGTCATCTGAGTATAGGCTGAGGAGAGAGTTCTGGGTCACCCTGGGTTGCAGAGTACGATGGCATCGAAAGGAATCCTAACCATTTCAGGGTCTTAGGCTATGAAGGAGAGCTGGTCCCTGGTAGCTGTGACCTCATGGCTCCTCTCCCCTCCGTTTTCCATCAGCACTCTGCAAAGACAGCAGCTGCTTTGTCTCCTTCCACCTGCCAGGCCTCTCCAAGGCTGCCTTTCCCTCATTCTTTTGTTTGCTCATGCTGCTTCTGATTAGTGGGAACTTCTTGTCAGCCAGCTTCACCACTGTCCAGCTACAATCCCTCTGCGGCTTTCCCGGGTGCTGCCTTATGGCAAGTTGGCTTCCTCTGGAAAGTGTCCTACAACCTTGTGAGGTCTTCGCGGTGCCTTTTCCACTCGTACTGACAGCGTGTGACACACAGGATGCCTAGCTACCTTTTTCCCACCCCTGATTTTCCTCTCTACCTTTCTGTGCCCAGCACGTTGGAGCAAGAGCTTTCCGTTGAGCTTTTGAGATGCAAAAAAGTCTTTGCCCTAAACTGAGCTGTGAGTTTCAAATCTGAAACTCCCAAGTCAAGAATTGACTTTTTTCTTTCTCATGGCATTTCTGAGATGCTCTCTCTTTCCCTGGGCAGTAAGTGCTGGATGCTAAAGCGTATGCCTGGAGAGACAGGGGTGGGCGGAAGGAATGAGGGTATTTGCAGTGCACACGAATGTTGCTTAAAACCTCAAGATGTGTTTCTAGCACATCGCTATTATTACATCTGCCCTCCACGCAGTTTTTTGCCCCATGGGGCTGAGCTGCACATTGATTTGCTTCAAGGTTGGAGCACTTGAGGATGATTCTGTTTTGACCTGTTGTTGGTAAAGTAAAAGAAAAGAAAATTAAAGAAGCAGACAGAGAAGCTGAAAAGAAAGTCAGACCCTTCTGGTCTGCAAAGCATTGGTTGAACATAGAGCTAAATGCAGCTCTGGCCTCATTCTGCTTTTCTGTCTCCCAAAGGTCATGCCATTTTTCTTGATCTGTTTTCCTATTTCCCTGTTCCACAGTTCATCATTGGATGCTCGCTGCCTAGGCAACAGCATTAGGGGCAGCTCTCAACCAGTGAATTACTGGAGGATATTCTGAGATCCATGCATGCAGAATTTCCTGTAATCTGGAATTTGTCCTTTAGTACTATTATTAGTATTTATACTGTCAGTGTGAAGTTCGTGTTCACTTGGGGGATCGGTTCAGACCCATGTGTATATCTTGGGTATACAGGAGACCAATCATACTGATGCTAGTGGCATTTCATTTCATCTTGCGTTCTGTAGTATTTTGTCAGCTGGACATGGGGGGGGCGGGGCTCTCAGCCTTGGCTTTTACCTGCATGGCAACTGTGGGGGGAAAAATGTAGGCAACATTGTTTGGGTACTTGCACAGGATTTGCTAGTCATGCTAAAGGAAGATTTGTAAAAATTGAACTAGGAAAGCAATTCTAAAAGGTTTGCCAGCAGCAACAGCAGCAACGGCAGCAGAAATAATTCTAGCTTCGCTTTATCAATCAACTATTTTATACCTGGTACTCTATTCTTTATACACATTGCCCCATTCAGCTTTATCAACTAATTTTAAAGGCTGATGTTTTTCTTTTCTTTTATAAACGGGAAATGGACATTAGAAATTAAATGGCTTGCGTTTGGTCACAGAGTCTTAAGTGGAGCCAGCATTTGAAACCATGTAGGTTTAACCTCAGAACCCTTGTCTACTGGGCTGGAACAGAGCCATGCTGTGTTCTTGATGGGCATCTTCCTGGTACTGCTGAATTACTAGACCAGGGCATCCCTGATGGATAGTAGGTACACACAGCGGAAAGTGAATGATTGCTTGGATTGGTGATTGGTGTTCTGTGTTCTGAGGCATTTCCTTCCATCAGGGACATCAAGATAATAGGTTCTAAGCCCTTCCTCTCAGTGGTCCTCTATCTCCATCTATCCTACTGCCTGTTCAGTCTTAATGTCACCCTACATGAGAGTGCTGGGAAGCGTCCTGAGGCCTATTTTGTTTTCCTCCAATCCAGGTTGTACCTAGCAACCAACAGAATCTTTCTCATCCGAAAATCTGTTCACAGCCACTCAGATTCCTCAGGACAGGTTTCAAATGGCCTCCTAGGCCTCCTGTGGTCTAGGGCTTTCCACTTCTAGGCTTCTTTGGTTCATAATGCACAGTTCTCTGCTTTGGGCCTTGAAAATAGAATCCCTCTCCCATCTCCAGGCATCTGCATGTTCTGATTCCTCCACAGTAGTGGTTCCCAACCTTCCTTACGGCCTTGCAACCCAACCCTTTACAGTTCCTCATGTGGTGGTGACCCCCAGCCAAAAAATTATTTTCACTGCTATTTCATGACTGTAATTTTGCCACTGTTATGAATCATAATGCAAATCCCTGTGTTTTCTCATGGTCTCAGGGAACCCCTGTGAAATGGTCAATCGACTCCAAATGGGTCATGACCCACAGGCTGAGAAACACTGCTCTACAGGCACACTACAGTTCTCTGCTGTGACCTGTATAGCTTCTGTCATACCCCAGTTCTCCGAGTGCGTTGCTCCCCTGGGCAGCTTCCCTGAACTCCTCTGATGGGATGAACAGAACATTTGGTGTGTCCCACCATGCCCTGCTTGTCCCACAACACAGCATATGCTGTAGCCCTGTTATTCCCCTTTTATATTGATCTATGATCTGCCATAAGTCATAGTGTTCAGCTCTAGGCCTGATATCTGGTCACCAGTAAATACAGCTGTCCCATGGAATCGCCAAGAAGATTAGTTCTGCCCTCATCCCTAATGGAGAGAGAGCCAAGTCTCTTATATGAAAATGCTATGGTGTTTGCAAAGAACTTCTGCAATCCTGCCACATACTCTTATTTATCTTTATTTTTAAAGATTTATTTTATTTTATTGTGTCTATATTTGTCTGTGTGTGGGTATGTAAATGTGCATGCAGGTGCTTGTGAAAGCCAGAAAGAGACAGATTCCCTGGAGCTGGAGTTACAGGTGGGTGTTAGCTGCCTGACATGGATGCTGCAAACTGAACTCAGGTCCTTTGTAAGTTCAGCAAGTGCTCTTCACCACTGAGCAATCTCTCTATGGTTTTAATCATATGGTTCTCACATGCTTTTAATCATAGGTTACTCATAATATCCAATTCAATACAAATAACATGTAAATATTTGTTATTCTGTATTGCTTAAGAGTAATGGCTGGAAAAACACTTACATATGTTGAATACATTTACAATTATATTTCAAATATTTTCTATTTGGTTGGCCACAGATGGAGAACTCTCAGACAACCGTATGTTTTTGTTGAATAAATGTGGAGCTAGAGGTGATGTCTTTTTGTAGCAAGTTCTGAATCAGAATAGCATACTGAACCATGGGCTTGGGAAGGTCATTATCTTGAGAATAAGTTTCTCAAAGCACCGAATGAAAATGGCTTCTGAAGTCCTTGATACAGTCTTTCTGGAACTGTGGGGAGACCTCTGTGAGATGGTGAAAATCTAAACATTTCAAAATTTCAAAAGGCAGGAGGTTCAAAATGACGCTTAGAAGTACAGATCCAACAACTCCCAAGTTTTTCCCCTTTTTAAAAGTCAGTCAGTGACCAAGCTGAGAGGCCCAGGAAAGCTCACATTGCAACCTGATTCATGAATATTCTCTCATTCCATTTTACAAGATTAAAAGTGGAGCTATAGCTCATTGCCACTTCCTCACTGCCCTCCTGTCCCAGGACTTAAGCCCTTGAATACATCTGCTCCGACTCTTCCTTTTCAACAGATAGCCAGGGCCCGGAAAAGGCCCCACATTGCAAGCTCTGAGGTCCCCCGTTAGAAGGACCAGATGGGACCATTGACTGCATGGAAGAGTTAAGAGTACCATCTCCCTGGCTCTGACTCCTCTTCCACAACCCCCCATTGGATTGTCATACAAATTAAGTCTCCCAGGCCCCCTCTCTTCACCCCCCTGCTTTTCCCCAGTGTGGTTTCCCAGGCTTCAGGCTTTGTGTGTATTTGCAAGGCACACACAGCAAAGGCAACGCTCAGACTCCTGTTTGCTGTGAATGCCGGGTTCAGACTGATTCCCCACAGCCCCGCCCTGGCAGCACAGCCCTCTCTTGTTGCCTGAGCATCTCTCTGAGCCCTGGGAACAGGGCAGGACAGGCAGCAGAGGGTGAGCAAACAGACGGGGACTGCATTTAGCACCATCTGCTGCTTCTATGGAGGTCACTGGGATAAACCGATTTGCTAAACAAAATGGTTAACAACTCATGAATAAAATCTTGAAGAAAAATTCCAAAAGGGATTTCATTACTGTTTAGTCTCTGTCATACCCCACACCCCAAACTGCTTTTGAACATGTACTTTTCTTGGGTTCCAGTAGGGGGCAGCTGCCATTAGGCCTGGAGAGAGAACTCATTTTTTTAAAAAAGCTTTCTAAAAACTATGTGAGATGTTTGTCTTCCACAGGGACAAGCCCCCTAAGTGATTATCAGTACCAAGTGGTAAGCCTGAAAAAACATACGTACAAGCTACACTAAATGGACCCAGCAGGTTGTAGTATTTATTCATTGGTTTATATATGAACAATAATAATTAAAGAAAAAGAA